TTTCCCTTTGGGGTTGCTGTAGGTGATCCAGAAGTCTATTTCTGGGACTTGTTTACAAGTCTTCTCATTTCCACGGGGGTGGGTGGTGCTTCTGGTGCCCGCGCGGCTCAGCTTCTCTGCCCTAGGAGCTTGGGATGATGGTGGGGGAGCTTCCTTCTGGGTTCTGGGACCGGCTCAGCTTCTCTGCCCTAGGAGCTTGGGATGGTGGCAGGGGAGCTTCCTTCCGGGTGCTGGGAAGGGCTCAGCTTCTCTGCCCTAGGAGCTTGGAATGGCAGCAGGGGAGCTTCCTTCTGGGTTCCCCCCAGAGTCTTATACTAGCTCAATTTCTAAGCCTTCAAGCACCTTTAAATGAAAGAAATTTAAAAATTGGCTCTTAATAAAAAATCTGAGATAATTGTTTTTCAGCCATTAAATATAATTTGTTGTTTCTTAGAAAAGTTCAAGGAAAAATATCCTTGAACAAATTGCATCTTGCTTTTTATTAAGTGTTTAGTTTATGCATGAAAATACTTACTGCCAAAAATAAAATTCTACATGACATTTTTTTCATATTCTCTAAAAATTCAAAAGTACTCTAAGTGCAGTAGTAAATATATTCTTAATATTAGGAAGTAGAAATATTAGTCCTGACAAATAAACAAATAGAAATTCTAGAATATTGCTATTCCAACCCCTAAAATATTGCAATTCTAGCCCCTAGACCAAATATGAAAAAGGTACAGAACTTCACATTGGATTTAGAGTTACTTTGAACAAAAGTTTCTTGTCCTTGATTTCTGTTCCCTTTCCCTAGACTGGGTGAAAATGGAAGCAAAAGGAATTACACTGCTTCTCAGCCATAACTCAGATTTCTCCTTTCACTCATGTACATTCTGTGGTTTATTGAAAATGTTTATAATAGTTGGGTATTAATAGTTGGGCATGTCAATATGACTTCACTTCTGATTTTTTATTTTGCTTGAAGTTCAAGTCCTAGCTCCATGCATGGATATACTTCATTAA